TTAAGTCAGTGAGACTATCGAAAAACAATGAAAATATAAATTTAATTTCTAACAGTTATTGGCGAGCTAATATTCCATTATTGTTTCGATCACAAAAGAAAGAATTCAACTATAATAAAATTTTCAAAAGAATCTTGAAATGTTTGTTATATGATCTGATACTTTTTAAACTACACACTCACAGAATACAGCACATATGCCTTTTGAAAACCCAAAGTGAGTTTGACGCAAGATCAGAAGAGGTGAAGAGCACAATTAAAGGTCATCGCAAACTAGGACTGTGTATATTACAAGAACACATGAGTGTATTAACGACTACTTGTCAACAATATCATAAACCGGACTTGTGTCTGTGTGACAAAACTGATGGCAGGGGAAAGTGAATGCAAAATAAACCAGATCAATTTGAGCGACAATACGTGACGTGGACAGAAAATATGTTACCCGTGGGTATCTGATAAGATTTATGCACCGATTTCTCGGAAGAAAATGTAGGCAATAAAAAATTAGCGGCACCATAAAACATAGCCAATCGAAGATTGAAAAAGAGTAATGAACGCAAGTAAACATAAAAAACAAACTGACTTTCTTGAAAAAATCTCCAACTTTCGAGATTGAAAGAAAAAAATAGAAGCCCTTTAAGCTCTTCAAATTTCTAGAACAATTTATGATTGGCGCTTTTTTGATAACATGAATCCATGAGAAAACTGGATCTATAGGTAAAGTTTTTATTCCGCTGGGAAATCATTAAAATAAAATCCACTTTCGAAACTAGAAATATTTCACGTTTTTTTGCGCCATTTCTAAGTTTGTAATTGGAGAGTGCTATTCACGTCACTTTCAGCAGATGAATTTCAATTGAACTCAAAAAATGCATTATACCTAAGTGCATCAAAATTTTTCCTGAAAAAAAAAACAAAAAAAAATCAACAAGACCTATATAAGTCTTCACTACGTTCATTACTCTAGTTGAATAAAAAAAAACAGATTTGTAGTCCATGCGGATGGTTTGATTGAAGTGAAAACTACCTATTCCGTATTTAGTTTTTGAGTCTTATGCAAGTCAAGGAAAACAGAATGGCGATTTTCTGCTCTAGTGTATTTTTAGATTTACTGAGGCGTCCGCAACCAGTTTCAAAGATAACACCGCCAAAAAAGCATAACACTAAACACGATGAATATGCATGCCAGAAAGCTGGATGAGAATCATACAAAACAAAAGATAATTGCAACGATTTATGCCACTAACTAAATAATACGCCATGGTCATCAGAAAAAAATTCGAAATACATTAAAACATTGACTATCCAAAATATACAGCACAATGATAGGATATGAGTCATCCCAACAAACTTGAACTTAAACTCATACGTAACTAAATTACTTGAACGACTAAATGAAATTATAAATTTGATTGCTTTTTTAAATCATACAACTCCCAAGTAAAATTATATGTCGTCAAAAATTGAGGTTGGTCCCGTATTCCGAGCTCCAAAATTTTTCATATTATTTGCTTCTTCTCTGTTCTTGTAGTCTTGAAAATCAACATAGTCGTCGTCTAGCAGATCTGTAGCCGAGTTGTCACTTGCCGAATCGAGTTTGTTAGCGGTTCCGTTCGAGTTTCCATTGCTCTGATTAGTTTTGCTCATAATGAATGAAGGAGCACCGGATGGTCCGTTGCGAGAATATTTGGCTGAAATAAAAATCAATATAAAACTATATTTTAAAAGCTGGCTGAAGAAAACCAGCAAACTGGGAGGATACACTTAAGCAATTTTTGTGGTATAAATACATCTACAATTTATATACACAGGCAAAGCTGCACACAGGCAAAATGGAGCTTAAAAACCACGAGACAAAAAAATGAGTCTGGAGAGAAAATAAAAATAGACACAGAGGCGAAGCCGATCTTCGCATCAGTAGCGATACGAAAAAATATGTGAAAACAGAATCAAAGCAATGAAAAAAGTGGCTGGATAAAAATAAACAAGTATTGCTTCACAATTATGGAAATCCAATTTGAAGCTAACTTTTATGTATCCTTAAGATTTTCAGCAACATTAAACATAGCTCCAAAACTTTTGTGAGATTACACAGAAGCAAAGCTGCACAATGCAGAAACAAGCAACGAGCGGCAAAATTGAGTGCTATAAATTTTACACAAGCGAAGCAGAGGTTCGCAAATATAGTGAAACAACGCAAGCAGAGAAATTGAACAAAGCTGAGTTTTTCAACAAATATTTTTATTCAGTTTTTCATGACGCTCAGATCTCGCCGTTGGATATATCTTCAGTTGAATCGCCCTGTTTTTCTTATTGATATTGATTTAGACATTCATGGTATACACAAGGCTCTGGAAAAAGTTCCCGATACTGGATCCTGTGCTTGTGACAACGTGCCGAGCTTAATTCATGACCAGAACGCTTCTTTTTAGCATCCTTTGTCTACCTATTATTTAAATATATTATTTCTTTACGAACGTGGCCTACTTTTTGGAAAATTGCGCACATATCCCCGATACACAAAAAATAAACTAGATCATTTGTTAAAAATTATCGACCTACTTCAATCTTACCTAGACTATCCCTAATTTTTGAAAAAAAACTGTTCAATTGCACTTACCCGCAGATTCAAGCCAATCTTAAGGAAAAGCTACAAGATTCAGTAAAGGTCATTCATTCGTCACCCAATTACTGATGTTTCTTGATAAAGTTAACTTGAATTATGACGATGTCGATCAGCTCATTCTATATCCTTACTTCCAAAATGCGTTTGTTTCTGTCTCATGTTTTATTGCTAAACAAACTCGCTTTCAATGGTTTTCACGAAGATTTCTCAATCTGATTCAGTCTTACTTGGAAGGCAGAATGCAGTGTGTTAAAGTAAACGGATGTTCATCTAGCCTACTACCAGTAACTAGTGGAGTCCCACAGGGAAGTGTACTTGGATCTTTGCTGTTAATCATTTTCATGCTCGATTTGCCGATAAACTTTGCCTGTTTTTGTTTCGCTGATGATACAAAGCTGAATACATCTCTCACTCCTCTCTATTCCAACTTGTGGGATGACTTCGATGTCCTCAAACTTTCGGCGACTTAGATTTAATATACCCAAATATGGTGTTTTACCAAGCGGGATCAAGAATTCTGCATCCCTTTTTCTGGTAAACACTGAGCTCCAAATTATCAATCATAGTACTGGCTTAGGACTAAAGTCACCACTTATTTAAAATGGGTTTATCATGCAAGAAATAAATGACAGAAGGCGCGAAGACTTTTCGGTTATCAATGGCACTGTACTCCGCGAATTATCCCTTCTAGTGTGAAATTTAATCTTTTCCAGGTGTGTGCAATTTCTATCTTGCTATATACTCATTCCGCTTGGTTTCTGGATATAAAAACGTTGAGACAATTCGAATCGTTTAATTACTCTGGCTTTACCACGGCATATTACGGCGCTAAAATTATCAAGATTTGCTGTACCTTTCAAATACGCTGTCGATAGCTTACCAATTGATTGAAAAAGACATACAATTTTTCATCAGTATTCGTCTCGGAGCCAATTGTTTTAACTTAGAAGATTTTTGCGAAATCCTGGAACCAAATCGGACTCTCAGACACTCTTCGCATCTGAAGTTGAAACCCCGCAAAATCTCTTAAGTCCTGACATCGAAATCGTTTTTCTACAAAACTGGGAATATTGTCAACCAATACATTGAGATATCGGGTCCAAACATCATCCATCAACCAAATGCTTCAAATGTTTTATTGCGTAAATTTCTCATCGAGTTACGTTCTACAAAATATAACTTTAACATGTTATGTACGTGGTCACTTAAATGCCATTGTTAATTCTGTACAATTTCCTAAGAGCTTCGTTTGACTTATATAAATTCTTCCGCGGGTTAAGTTGAAGATTTTAACTACTACAACTAGATTTGCAAGCTACTGGGTTAAAAAAAACGAGACCAAAATCAGTAGCAAGTGAGAAAAAAACGAGACAGTAATCATTTCATCGAAAATGAGTAAAATAGAAAAAAAATGGAAAAAGGATAGCTGGTTACTGTGCCAGTACCACCGAATGTTCCGACCAAGAACAAAAAAAAACTTTCTTGGAGTAGTTTTTTTTCTGCGTGGTGTGATAAAAAGATCTGAACGAAAAAATGGAACATAAGAATATTTGACAGACATAGTCAAAAATTGTCGAAAAATGACTAATAAAAAAAACACAAAAAGAAAAATTTTCAAAATTTTTGCAGGAATTTTTCGAGTTTTTGAGGTTTTTAATTTCCAAATGGCGCTACTAACTTCAAACACAACTTTACTTGGCAAATAAGTAAAACTTTACTAGGTAGAACTCGCTCGCATTTATTCGCTCGAATTTAGACTTGTTTTTCTGGATACAGGGAAAAGTTTTTGCAAATTACTCAGGTAGATGCCACGTGATCCGGAAAGGTCATTCTTCAAAAATTAGGTGCCCCATATCATCTGATACACACAGCACAACAATCTCTTCTTTCCCTGAAACGACGCAATATAACATAAACCAAACCCATTTAAGTGAAAAAATAACTAACAAAATGGTATAAAACCAAACTCGGAATTTGTAAACTTAAAACTATAAAAAACAATTATCAATTATTGTTAAACAGCTTAAACAGCAAAAAAAACATGCTTTGAAGAAAAAACGATGTTTCAATTTCATTTTATATAAAAATCGACGAGCCCGTAACCTGATGCTATGAATGATCTTGTGTTTTACCACTGGACAAAGTGAGAGGATGCCCGAAGGAAGTGAGGTTCTATATAAAGCAAGCACAGATTTGTGAGAAAAATTTTTAGGGAATAAAAGTCTTGTTACCAAATACATGTACATTTTCTCTCGCAGATGAATAATTTGAGAACAAACGCAAAGCTGTATTTCAACACACGATCAACCAAAAACGGTAAAACTGAGCTGAAAACTAACTGAAAATAACCAAAACTTTGGAGACTACGGGGTTTAAGCTTCGTCTAGCAGATCTGTAGCCGAGTTGTCACTTGCCGAATCGAGTTTGTTAGCGGTTCCGTTCGAGTTTCCATTGCTCTGATTAGTTTTGCTCATAATGAATGAAGGAGCACCGGATGGTCCGTTGCGAGAATATTTGGCTGAAATAAAAATCAATATAAAACTATATTTTAAAAGCTGGCTGAAGAAAACCAGCAAACTGGGAGGATACACTTAAGCAATTTTTGTGGTATAAATACATCTACAATTTATATACACAGGCAAAGCTGCACACAGGCAAAATGGAGCTTAAAAACCACGAGACAAAAAAATGAGTCTGGAGAGAAAATAAAAATAGACACAGAGGCGAAGCCGATCTTCGCATCAGTAGCGATACGAAAAAATATGTGAAAACAGAATCAAAGCAATGAAAAAAGTGGCTGGATAAAAATAAACAAGTATTGCTTCACAATTATGGAAATCCAATTTGAAGCTAACTTTTATGTATCCTTAAGATTTTCAGCAACATTAAACATAGCTCCAAAACTTTTGTGAGATTACACAGAAGCAAAGCTGCACAATGCAGAAACAAGCAACGAGCGGCAAAATTGAGTGCTATAAATTTTACACAAGCGAAGCAGAGGTTCGCAAATATAGTGAAACAACGCAAGCAGAGAAATTGAACAAAGCTGAGTTTTTCAACAAATATTTTTATTCAGTTTTTCATGACGCTCAGATCTCGCCGTTGGATATATCTTCAGTTGAATCGCCCTGTTTTTCTTATTGATATTGATTTAGACATTCATGGTATACACAAGGCTCTGGAAAAAGTTCCCGATACTGGATCCTGTGCTTGTGACAACGTGCCGAGCTTAATTCATGACCAGAACGCTTCTTTTTAGCATCCTTTGTCTACCTATTATTTAAATATATTATTTCTTTACGAACGTGGCCTACTTTTTGGAAAATTGCGCACATATCCCCGATACACAAAAAATAAACTAGATCATTTGTTAAAAATTATCGACCTACTTCAATCTTACCTAGACTATCCCTAATTTTTGAAAAAAAACTGTTCAATTGCACTTACCCGCAGATTCAAGCCAATCTTAAGGAAAAGCTACAAGATTCAGTAAAGGTCATTCATTCGTCACCCAATTACTGATGTTTCTTGATAAAGTTAACTTGAATTATGACGATGTCGATCAGCTCATTCTATATCCTTACTTCCAAAATGCGTTTGTTTCTGTCTCATGTTTTATTGCTAAACAAACTCGCTTTCAATGGTTTTCACGAAGATTTCTCAATCTGATTCAGTCTTACTTGGAAGGCAGAATGCAGTGTGTTAAAGTAAACGGATGTTCATCTAGCCTACTACCAGTAACTAGTGGAGTCCCACAGGGAAGTGTACTTGGATCTTTGCTGTTAATCATTTTCATGCTCGATTTGCCGATAAACTTTGCCTGTTTTTGTTTCGCTGATGATACAAAGCTGAATACATCTCTCACTCCTCTCTATTCCAACTTGTGGGATGACTTCGATGTCCTCAAACTTTCGGCGACTTAGATTTAATATACCCAAATATGGTGTTTTACCAAGCGGGATCAAGAATTCTGCATCCCTTTTTCTGGTAAACACTGAGCTCCAAATTATCAATCATAGTACTGGCTTAGGACTAAAGTCACCACTTATTTAAAATGGGTTTATCATGCAAGAAATAAATGACAGAAGGCGCGAAGACTTTTCGGTTATCAATGGCACTGTACTCCGCGAATTATCCCTTCTAGTGTGAAATTTAATCTTTTCCAGGTGTGTGCAATTTCTATCTTGCTATATACTCATTCCGCTTGGTTTCTGGATATAAAAACGTTGAGACAATTCGAATCGTTTAATTACTCTGGCTTTACCACGGCATATTACGGCGCTAAAATTATCAAGATTTGCTGTACCTTTCAAATACGCTGTCGATAGCTTACCAATTGATTGAAAAAGACATACAATTTTTCATCAGTATTCGTCTCGGAGCCAATTGTTTTAACTTAGAAGATTTTTGCGAAATCCTGGAACCAAATCGGACTCTCAGACACTCTTCGCATCTGAAGTTGAAACCCCGCAAAATCTCTTAAGTCCTGACATCGAAATCGTTTTTCTACAAAACTGGGAATATTGTCAACCAATACATTGAGATATCGGGTCCAAACATCATCCATCAACCAAATGCTTCAAATGTTTTATTGCGTAAATTTCTCATCGAGTTACGTTCTACAAAATATAACTTTAACATGTTATGTACGTGGTCACTTAAATGCCATTGTTAATTCTGTACAATTTCCTAAGAGCTTCGTTTGACTTATATAAATTCTTCCGCGGGTTAAGTTGAAGATTTTAACTACTACAACTAGATTTGCAAGCTACTGGGTTAAAAAAAACGAGACCAAAATCAGTAGCAAGTGAGAAAAAAACGAGACAGTAATCATTTCATCGAAAATGAGTAAAATAGAAAAAAAATGGAAAAAGGATAGCTGGTTACTGTGCCAGTACCACCGAATGTTCCGACCAAGAACAAAAAAAAACTTTCTTGGAGTAGTTTTTTTTCTGCGTGGTGTGATAAAAAGATCTGAACGAAAAAATGGAACATAAGAATATTTGACAGACATAGTCAAAAATTGTCGAAAAATGACTAATAAAAAAAAACACAAAAAGAAAAATTTTCAAAATTTTTGCAGGAATTTTTCGAGTTTTTGAGGTTTTTAATTTCCAAATGGCGCTACTAACTTCAAACACAACTTTACTTGGCAAATAAGTAAAACTTTACTAGGTAGAACTCGCTCGCATTTATTCGCTCGAATTTAGACTTGTTTTTCTGGATACAGGGAAAAGTTTTTGCAAATTACTCAGGTAGATGCCACGTGATCCGGAAAGGTCATAACAAAAAAATTCGGCAATTTTTAAATTCTTCAAAAATTAGGTGCCCCATATCATCTGATACACACAGCACAACAATCTCTTCTTTCCCTGAAACGACGCAATATAACATAAACCAAACCTATTTAAGTGAAAAAATAACTAACAAAATGGTATAAAACCAAACTCGGAATTTGTAAACTTAAAACTATAAAAAACAATTATCAATTATTGTTAAACAGCTTAAACAGCAAAAAAAAACATGCTTTGAAGAAAAAACGATGTTTCAATTTCATTTTATATAAAAATCGACGAGCCCGGAACCTGATGCTATGAATGATCTTGTGTTTTACCACTGGACAAAGTGAGAGGATGCCCGAAGGAAGTGAGGTTCTATATAAAGCAAGCACAGATTTGTGAGAAAAATTTTTAGGGAATAAAAGTCTTGTTACCAAATACATGTACATTTTCTCTCGCAGATGAATAATTTGAGAACAAACGCAAAGCTGTATTTCAACACACGATCAACCAAAAACGGTAAAACTGAGCTGAAAACTAACTGAAAATAACCAAAACTTTGGAGACTACGGGGTTTAAGCTTCGCGTCTCCTGGTGAAAAGCACCTATCTCAACCGCTTATCTACTGCTGCATTAATTGCACAACGCTCACAAAACCTAAACAGCAAACTTTACTGCAAACATTCGCGCTTTGGTAAGTGGAGAACGCAATTTTGCCTTCCGTTTAGCAAATGAATTTGCATTTAACTTAAAAACGAATCAAAAATCGAACCGGCAAAAATCAAATTTGTCGTGATTTTCCTGATACACGACCTATATAAGTGAATTTACATTGGCACTTAACAATCAATTACTAATCACCAGGAAGCAATAAATGGGCTTAACAGAGCGGATATAGCTTAGTATCGTAGAAAACGCTAAAACGATAATAAAGAAAGCGAACAAAATACAAAAAATTTGCTACTTTGGTTTAAAAACATGAACTGATCTCATTGAGCTTTGCTATTGCAACAAATTTGATATTGCAACAAGCTCAAAATATATAACGAGTCTCCAATCGATGAAAAGATTGGGATAAGATTGGAAATAGTGTGTTATGAAAAAGATTCATTGGTCAACAATTATATCAAACTGGAAATGAGGGTTTCAATTTGCTGGCATTTTACTTGCTAATTGTACGAAATCAAAAAAAAATTCATTTATTCGTTGCATGCACAAAATTTGGACAACGTGGTCGCACGCTTCTTTTAGTGAAGAAAAATAGATGATTAGGGAAAACGACAGAAGGCCAATTCGTAGATGCTGCTAGTACCTTCGAGTTGCTTTTTTAAAAACAAATTAAAGAAATTAGACGATCAAAGCAATGGAATAAAAATTTTCGAGTTGCTTTTTTGTTTTAAAAAACTAGACGGTCAAAGCAATGGAATAAAAATTTTCGAGTTGCATTTTTAAAAACAAATTCAAGAAATTAGACGAGCAAAACAATGGAATAAAAATTTTCGAGTTGCTTTTTTAAAATCAAATTAAACCAATTAGATGGTCAAAGCAATGGAATAAAAATTTTCGAGTTGCTTTTTTAAAAACAAATTAAAGAAATTAGAAGAGCAAAGCAATGGAAAAAAAATTTCGAGTAGCTTTTTTAAAAACTAATTAAAGAAATTAGACGGTCAAAGCAATGGAATAAAAATTTTCGAGTTGCTTTTTAAAAACAAATTAAACAAATTAGACGGTCAAAGGAATGGAATAAAAATTTTTGAGTTGCCTTTTTAAAAACAAATTCAAGAAATTAGACGGTCAAAGCAAAGGAATAAAAATTTTCGAGTTGCTTTTTAAAAAATAAATTCAAGAAATTAGACGGTCAAAGCAATGGAATAAAAATTTTCGAGTTCGTTTTTTAAAAACAAATTCAAGAAATTAGACGGTCAAAGTAATGGAATAGAAGTTTTCGAGTTGCTTTTTTAAAAACAAATTCAAGAAATTAGACGGTCAAAGCAATGGAATAAAAATTTTCGAGTTGCTTTTTTAAAAGCAAATTAAAGAAATTAGATGAGCAAAGCAATGGAATAAAAATTTTCGAGTTGCTTTTTTAAAAGCAAATTGAAGAAATTAGATGAGCAAAGCAATGGAATAAAAATTTTCGAATTCCTTTTTTAAAAACAAATTAAAGAAATTAGATGAGCAAAGCAATGGAATAAAAATTTTCGAGTTTCTTTTTTAAAGACAAATTCAAGAAATTAGACGAGCAAAGCATCGGAATAAAAATATTCTATTTGGAAGAACAAATCGGTAACAAAATAACAGTTTTTGATGTCAGTCGAGAACTAGCATGCAATGTTTCTACTAACTAAGCTAGAGCTAAATCGGATCATAACCTCTCATAGCTTCTGCGTGCATATTTCTCCCTCCGCCTCTTCTGCCTGCGTAGGACTGCTGTTTGCCAGCATTGAAGTTGGCTTCGATGTCGTCGTTGTCACCTCCCGCTCCTCCTGCTCCGCTTGCGTATTTCTCGGCGTCTCGTCCCGCTCTATTTAGTCTTTCGTCCCATTCTTTACGCCGCTGTTCGCCTCTGTTTTCACGCTCTATTCTTCTGTGTTCTGAAATTCATTTCCTTCAATTTATTTGTCAAGCATCACACGGACCTTAGAATAACATTTTTTCAGGACAGCAGCGTGCAAATGACGGGGACTGAACGCCTACCTCCTCAATTCTGGTTGCAAAATTTTTCCAAATGGTCCTTCCATGATATTTTTCAACTATACCCACTTTTTTCTCAAGCAAGCTTGGTGCCAAAATACCAAAAAATTAAAGGACAAACGCGCCAAAAACCGTTTACTTTAGCATTTAGCAAATAGCGCTTCAAAAACCTTTCAAAAACTTTCAAATTTTTAGCAAAATGGGGGGTTAAGGGGAGCTCGAAAAATCAAATTGGTAGACATTGGAACAAAGAGGGCAACATTTTCAAACATTTTTCAAAGAACTGCCCCCTAGAAAAAATCCTGTACACGCAACTGTTTCAGGAGACTGAAAAAATTCATGCATCGGTAATTTAGACATTTTGAACATTTACGGCCGTTATTTTTAAAGTCTGAACAAAAAATCGTTTAATATTGCCGTAAATATTGCGTTTTCCCAAAACGACAGAGCCTCTCTGCTTCATTTTTCAGTTTCAAGTTTATTTTCTCCCTAGTCGATCAGTTAAAGCCCACTATTTTGGCTTAAACTGACCGGCTAGTAAACTAAAAAATGAAGCAGGCTAAGTTATTTGGGCTCTTTTCCAGTCCCCCCTTTCAAAATACCGAGTATTATGTTAGTTTTACGTGTTATTACGGCTAAATGCGTGATGTTACGCTGTAAAGTATGAAGAAAAAATCTGTTCAGAATTGTCGATTTGTTCACCACGCCAAATTTCATTGCATTATGACAACGTTAAATAGACTTTTCAGTATTGAATTTGAAGGGGGGAACTGGAAAAGAGCCGTTATTTGATACTCGCCTCTCTTGATGAGTTGCTGTCCCTCGTCTATGAGTTCACTAGTCAGCTCCCCATCGCCCATGAACTGCTGGAACCCGATAAAGGAGAGCACGTGGGATCCAAGATTGAACAGAGTGGCCAGACAGAGCACTATCAACACCAGGGGGAAGTAGATGTTGAACCCATCTGAGATGAAGTACACTATGCTCAAATGGCCCATCACCTGAAGAGAAAAACCGTAGGCTCAAGAATTTACCATGGTTGCAATAACTCAGTATAAATTAATCGCACCTCTGTGAAGGAACATGGCTGCTGAGTAGCGTCGTTACTGATCGAGTTGTCCATGTGAGTCACCCCCAGGAAGTTCAGACAGATCGAGGGTGTCAGACGACACAGAAGCCTGAAAAACGAAACAATAACGAAAAAGATACAGGGGACACCCGGGTTCGAACCGAGGACCTCTCGATCTGCAGTCGAATGCTCTACCACTGAGCTATATCCCCTTGCTACTCCACTGAAGCTTCAAGCCAAAATAGATCAATTGACACTAAAGGTCAAAAATCTTCTACCAAAAAGCATTGAACGCCAACTTCAAGGTCAAACTTTGATTACTAACTTTCCGCCACACTAAGATGTTCATTTTCAACTTTTTGCCCTAAAATTGTACTTTTCTACCAACGTAAAAAAAATGGTAGAGTCACGCGTTAAACATTACTGCCATCTGACACAGCTATGAAAGCAGAACACGATGTGGCGAAGGATTTGAAAGGAGCCAAAAAATTCTGCGAAGATGTTGCATGAAATTGTTCTACTTGATATGCTCACATTCCACTGAAGAGTAGAGTGTATTCGTCCGTGTGGTGGTGAGGGGAGAGGTAATAGTAGTTGAAGAACCTCACTCGAAACACAGTCCAGTACACGGTCACACACATGAACACCAACAACAGCACACACGTCAGCTAAACAATGTAACTCAAGACTTCCATATTTGCGAAAAAATATATATATAAACACACACATATTTCGTGAGCATTTTGAGCTCCTTGCTATTAGATTCAAATCTCCTAACACCCACCCATCCACCCCACATCACCCCCCTCAATCTCCTAGCCTACAGCCAAAAAAAAATCGACAATGATTTCAAATCGTTCAAGTCTTTGGCAGTAGTAAAAAATCATATTATTAAAAAATTCTTATTGAAAATCTACATCAGATACTGCGTCTTCCTGCATACCTGGATGAGAAAGTACTGATGTGCCTGCGCGAACCAGTCTGCAATGAAAAGTGCATAAATTGAAAGCACTGGATCTTTTCTGAAGAAGGTGACCTCGCTCCACACTAATGTGACTGCCAGAATAGCCAGCACAATTCCAAACATCTGAAGTAGCTTCGGAACAATCACAATCTTCCAGTAGAATTCTAGGAAAAAAAAACAATTTATGAACATAGTCAACAGACAGTTGGAAAAGAGTCAATAAAGGCAAGAAACAAAAAAAAAGTATGATGAGTAGAATTCCGAAAATTTCAACTTCGGAATTCCAACAAAAAGGCGGCCTTAAAAGTCGATGAATTTCTGAAAAAATTTATGATTGACACTTTTTTGATAAAATAAACCCAATTTGAGAAACCTGGATCCATAGGTAATTTGTTTCTTTTGCAGGGAAATCTGATAACTAAATTTGATTTTCGAAATTAGAAGTCGATCACCTTTCGTAACCTTTACACTTTCGCTGTTCGATATTGGATTTTGCCTTCCTTTTAACAAAAAAAAGAACCTAAAACGAAACCAAAAATCAAACCGCAAATCAAAGATTGAGCAAATTTAAAAATTTTCCTGAAAAACAAAAAAATCAAAACGACCTATAGAGTCTGAACTATGTAAATTTGTACACAGGCGAAGCTGCGCTTCGCAAACACTTGCGAGAACGCGATCAAAAAGCAGCTCTATCAAGAGAAATAAGAAAAAGAAGAAATAAGCAGCTAATTAGCGACAACTCGGCTTCGTGTCGGACTCAAATCTGCGACCTAGCACATTTGAGCCTCACGTACTTACGACTCAACCACGGATGCTTAAAATTTCTAAAAACTAGACACCAATAACGCCGCAATGTATGCTTATAAATTGCCAATTCGATGCATAAAAAGTATCACCACACACAAAAAGACACAATTTTGCATGTGATAATTTGGAAAGCATAGAGCCTAATTATGTATAAACACCAGGGCTAAACCGAACTTCGCATACACAAGCAAAAGTATGGCCAATGACGCTACTGGGAAAAACTGAACGAGTAAAACTCACTAAAGTGACACACGCCAACCATGAGTCTGCATAATTGCTAAGTGACGCAAGCCAATACCAGTCAATTTGGAAAAAAAGAAATTTACTAACTAACATGCCCCAATTTATAGAGCGGACGAATTTTGACTAGTATACGAAAAAATTCATTAAAAACATTCGACCCTGCCCGGGTTCGAACCCTCTTATTTTGTTGCGGGTCTCCTTCCCAACCTATACGCTACAGATCAAAATACCTTTAAGCTAAAGTGCTATTTGTAATATAATAGTCTGTATTTTTATCCTTAGCATTGGCTGTACTTAATAGCTGATTTGATCAAAATGAACTTATTTTGTCGCAACAATATTTGCGACATAGGTTGGAAAAAAAGAGTTCATACTATCACACAAGCTTTTTTTTTGTTTAGTTATGCATTTGAAAAAAATGCGAAATACATTGAGTTGGAAAATTCTGAAATCAAGATTTTTATCATTGTACTGATTGAAACAAATAACTTTTTTCGGTTCATTGTATGAATTAAAAATTCAAATTAAAAATGATATTATATTGCTACCGCAGCCTAATTCTCTGCTTAATTTCCCAAGTCTTTTTCAAACTTAGTCGAGATTCTGAAAAGACTCGTTGGGATAGTATATAACCTTTCCAAAACTTTAGCTGACTTTCCCAAGACTATAAAAAAAAATCGTTGAGATAGCAATTTAACGCTCTCAGTACTTTTACCAATCTTCAGAAGACTCTTTAGGAAACCCATGTATGTCTTAATTATACACTGTCAAGAGTTAAAAACCTTCCCAGTACTCTAGAAAACAGTCGCTGTGATGATAAAAAACGCTTCAAGGCTTTTGTTATCTCTTCTAAATATCTTTAGAAAACTCATTGCGTTAGTAAAATAACCCTTCCAGAGCTTTAGCTGACTTCACCAAAACTATTTCTAACCTTCTCAAGACTCTAAAAATCTGTAAGGACTCAATTTAACGCTCTCAGGTTTTTTGCTAACCGTCCCAAGGCTTTTTAGAAAACTGATGAAGATCTTAGATTTACACTGCGAAAACTTCTGCTGACATCTCCTGGACTCTAGAAAACAGTCGCGATGATAAAAAAAAAACATTTCAAGGCTTTTTCCATACTTCCTCAGGATCTATGTAAAACTCATTGAGAAGGTAGATTAACATTTCCAAAGTCTTAGCCGACTTTCCCAAGGCTTTTTTAAACTTGCCCAAGATTCTAAAAAGACTCGATGGGATAGTACATCACCTTTCTAAAACTTTAGCTGACTTTCTTAAAACCTTTTTAACATTCCCATGATTCTAAAAAACCGTTGAGATAGCAATTTAACGCTCTCAAGACTTTTGCCAACCAACCTTCCCAAGGCACTAGCAAGTAGTCGCTGGTGATAAAAAAATTGATCCACGGCTTTTGTCATCCTCCTAAGGATCTATAAAAAAAACTCATTGGAATAGTTAAAACACCCATCCAAACCTTTAGCAGACTTCACCAAAACTTTTTCTAACATTCTAAAGACTTTAAAAAACTGATGAAGATCTTAACTTTACACTGCAAAAAAATTACACCGCAAAAATTTTTGTTAACATCCCTTGTACTCTAGAAAACAGTCGCGGTGATAAAAAAAACATTTCAAGGCTTTTTTCATCCTTCCTTAGGATCTAATGAAAACTCATTGAGATAGTAAATTAACCTTTCCAAAAACTAAGCTGACTTTCTCAAGGATTTTTAAAACTTGCCCAAGAAGTTAAAAAGACTAGTTGGGATAGTAAATAACCTTTCCAAACTTTAGCTGAATTTCTTAAACTCTTTTGAACCTTCCCAAGACTGAAAAAAATCGTTGAGTTAGCAATTTAACACTCCCAAGACTTTCGCCAACCTTCCGAAGACTCTAGCAAATAGTCGCGGTCATAAAAAAAATTAGAGGCTTTTGTCATCAGTCCTAAGGATCTATCAAAAACTCAATGGGATAGTTAATTTACTCTTCCAAAACTTTAGCTGACTTTCCCAAAAGTTTTTAACCTTTCCAAGACTCTAAATCTTCTGAATAGCTATTTAACGCTCTCGGGACTTTTGTCAACCTTCGCAAGGCTCTTTAAAAAACTGATGAAGATCCTAATTTTACACTACAAAAACTTCTGCTAACATCCCTTGGACTCTAGAAAACAGTCTCAATGATAAAAAACAATTCAAGGCTTGTTTCATCCTTCCTCAGAGTCTATGGAAAACTCATTGAGATAGTAAATTAACATTTCCAAAGTGGTAGCTGACTTTCCGAAGGCTTTTTAAAACGTGCCCAAGAAATTAAAAAAGCTCGGTCGTGTGATGAAAATTTTTTTTAAAGGTATTCGCCAAACTTTCTTAGGAACTATAGGAAACTCATTGAGTTAGTAAATTAAACCTTCCAAAACTGTAGCTGACTTCACCAAAACTTTTGCTAATGTTCTCAAGACTCTAAGAAACCGTTAGGACTCAATTTAACGCTCTCAGGACTTTTGCCAACCTTCCCAAGGCTCTTTAAAAAAACTGATGAAGATCTTAGATTTACACTGCTAAAATTTCTGCTAACATCCTTTGGTCTCTAGAAAACAATCGCAGCGATCCAAAAATCATTTCAAATCTTTTTTCATACTTCTTCAAGATCTATGGAAAACTCATTGAGATAAATTAAATTTTCCAAAAGTCTTAGCTGACTTCACCAAAACTATTTCTAACCTTCTCAAGACTCTAAAAATCTGTAAGGACTCAATTTAACGCTCTCAGGTTTTTTGCTAACCTTCCCAAGGCTTTTTAGAAAACTGATGAAGATCTTAGATTTACACTGCGAAAACTTCTGCTGACATCTCCTGGACTCTAGAAAACAGTCGCGATGATAAAAAAAAAACATTTCAAGGCTTTTTCCATACTTCCTCAGGATCTATGTAAAACTCATTGAGAAGGTAGATTAACATTTCCAAAGTCTTAGCCGACTTTCCCAAGGCTTTTTTAAACTTGCCCAAGATTCTAAAAAGACTCGATGGGATAGTACATCACCTTTCTAAATTTTTAGCTGACTTTCTTAAAACCTTTTTAACATTCCCATGATTCTAAAAAACCGTTGAGATAGCAATTTAACGCTCTCAAGACTTTTGCCAACCAACCTTCCCAAGGCACTAGCAAGTAGTCGCTGGTGATAAAAAAATTGATCCACGGCTTTTGTCATCCTCCTAAGGATCTATAAAAAAAACTCATTGGAATAGTTAAAACACCCATCCAAACCTTTAGCAGACTTCACCAAAACTTTTTCTAACATTCTAAAGACTTTAAAAAACTGATGAAGATCTTAACTTTACACTGCAAAAAATTTACACCGCAAAAACTTTTGTTAACATCCCTTGTACTCTAGAAAACAGTCGCGGTGATAAAAAAACATTTCAAGGCTTTTTTCATCCTTCCTTAGGATCTAATGAAAACTCATTGAGATAGTAAATTAACCTTTCCAAAAACTAAGCTGACTTTCTCAAGGATTTTTAAAACTTGCCCAAGAAGTTAAAAAGACTAGTTGGGATAGTAAATAACCTTTCCAAACTTTAGCTGAATTTCTTAAACTCTTTTGAACCTTCCCAAGACTGAAAAAAATCGTTGAGTTAGCAATTTAACACTCCCAAGACTTTCGCCAACCTTCCGTAGACTCTAGCAAATAGTCGCGGTCATAAAAAAAATTAGAGGCTTTTGTCATCAGTCCTAAGGATCTATCAAAAACTCAATGGGATAGTTAATTTACTCTTCCAAAACTTTAGCTGACTTTCCCAAAAGTTTTTAACCTTTCCAAGACTCTAAATCTTCTGAATAGCTATTTAACGCTCTCGGGACTTTTGTCAACCTTCGCAAGGCTCTTTAAAAACTGATGAAGATCCTAATTTTACACTACAAAAACTTCTGCTAACATCCCTTGGACTCTAGAAAACAGTCTCAATGATAAAAAACAATTCAAGGCTTGTTTCATCCTTCCTCAGAGTCTATGGAAAACTCATTGAGATAGTAAATTAACATTTCCAAAGTGGTAGCTGACTTTCCGAAGGCTTTTTAAAACGTGCCCAAGAAATTAAAAAGGCTCGGTCGTGTGATGAAAATTTT